ACCAATCTTGCTGAGACAGTCCATTTTTCTCCCTTGGTGCAGATGTGAAATAGTTCTGCTGACCATTTTGGTCAGAGTTGTAGAAAAATCTTAACCAAAATAAAGTGAACAGAATATAAAATGTTCATGATCTCTGGATTTCTGAAGTGATGGAGGCTGGATGAATCTCTGAAGCTTTAAAATAATCTTTATATTTTAAGTCAAAAAGACCCCTGAAGTCACTTTAATTCGGCTTAACTATGGTTGACCTTGAGAATGGGAATCTCAGAACACATGATTATGCTCATGTGACACCTTTACTCAGATAAGGAAGCAATCCTCAGAACAGAGCAATGAAACACTGCAGGATTCAAAATCAGAAAAAGAGTGCATCAGGAAATGTGTCCTGTCTCCACACATTTCAATCTATATGCAGATCATTCAGGAAACAGGGCTTTATGAGGAGGACTTGGATTGGAGGAAAACTCACCAACCACCTACATTATGCAGATGATATAACTTTGCTTACAGAAACTGAAGACTTGAAGAGCTTGCTGCAGGTCAAGGACTGTAGTCTTCAATATGGATTGACTGAAGACCTGAAGCGCTTGCTGCAGGTCAAGGACTGTAGTCTTCAAAATGGATTGAAGCTCACCATCAAGAAAACGAAGATTCTCACCACTGTCAGCACTATGGTAGATAGAGAGGAGATGGAGGTTGCTAACAATTACAATTTGCTTGGCTCCACAATCAACACTCATGGAATCAGTAGTCAGGAAATCAAAAGACAAGTTGAACGGGGAAAATCTGCTGTCAGGGACCTCTCCAGAGTACTGAAAAGTAATAATGCCAGTCTGGAGACTAAGGTCTGCCTGATCCAGGCCATAGTCTTTGCAATTACTTGCTATGCATCAGAGAGCTGGACAATGATTAAGGATGACAGAAGAGTAATTAATACCTTTGAGTTGTGCTGGAGAAGGGTCTTGAACATAACATGGACCATCAGGAAAACAAATAGGTCGGTCTTGGAGAGAGTGAAAGCAAGTTTTTCCTTGGAGGATAGGAGTTTGAAGTTGTTTCACATATTTTGGGCATATGGCCAGAAGGAACCAGTCCTTGGAGAAAGACTTCATGCTTGGAAGCGTGGAGGGACAGCACAGGAGAGGAAGACCCTGGTTGAGATGGATTGACACAGTAACTGGGGCAACAGGGCTAGTTGTGTCCAACTCAGTGAGACTGGCTCAGGACAGCGTAGGCTTCAGAACTTTGAATGGCAGGTGACTTGATGGCACATTATCAACAATTTAAAAAAGGTAAGCTTTAAAATCTTTTAGAACTATCAGAATGAATTGAGAACAGAAAGTTAAAACATTAGATAAGAATCTAAGGAGGCACATGAGTCCAGAATAAGGGTTGCAAAGTAAAGTGTTCCTGGGTGGGGTAAGAGGGAACTGTACAATGAAAGAACTTTTTTCCCAAAGAAAAAAGTGAACTGGGGGGAAGAGGGACAGGGAGGAAAATGTACAACAATAAATGAATAGAAATTAAAGCTTTTTACAAACTTTAAAATCTGAAGGAAAACAAAAGAATCTAAGGAGGCATGGAGTTTATGTAAAATGAGGGAGGGAAAAGCTCAGAAAAAATAGGTGAGAAGATTTATACTTGAAGAATTTAATCAATGTTTTTAAACAGTATGTTTAGAAACTGTTCATATTTTACTGTGTATATACTCAACAGCAAAACAAAATTCAGAAAAAATGTGACATGCCTCTAGAATTGAGAGTATTTTATGAATGCTTTTCTCACAGTGTGCTTAAATTTGGTAATATTGAAAAAAATACAGATTTCTGAAAATAAATATGTAAATGCGTTTTATTGACAGTGGATCAATAAAAGCACTAGTTTCAGTTAATTAAGAACATATGAAATACGGAAATGAAAAAGATCCATTTGAAAATTCCAAAGATTTATATCAAAATACAAAGTACAATGTGGTTGGAATTATCACGATACATAAAAAGGATAAATAGTGAAATGCAGGGGGATAAGATTTCCAGTAAGTCTAACTACATTAAGTTCTTTGAACTTAATTTTATTTTAAGGCAATTAGATTGGAACTTAACACTCACAAACCATTAAATAGTTCATGGTGAAGTAATCTCAGAAGAGAAAAAGTGCCGGTTCCAGGAGGTTTCCAGGAGGGTGTGCAGGAACCACATCAAATGAAATCAAGATGAGAAGGAAGCATATTCTTTTCTTTATGATGAATCCAGAGAACAGAATGGTCAATGTAGAATCAGTAATCAAAAAATAGGGAACATTCATTCTTACATAACTTCTATTTCATGATTTAATCCTTGTAACTTTATGAGGGAAGATTCCCATTTATACAGAGGATACAAGCAATTTTTCATAATCACATAACGAAGTGAAGGTGACAGAATTTAAACACCACTTTTTTTAAAAAACCGTATCAACTTTGTTAATTTTATAGTAAAATTTTGATCCCCAAATAATGCATTTTTTTCATGTATTATTTGTCTGGCATATTAAGGTTTGGGTAACTTAAATTCTTTCAATAGCTTCAACAATATTATAGTAACATCCCAACCTTGGGAGCATTTTCCATTTTTCCCCCCATTCTCTGATTCAAGATGGAGCATCAGCGAGGGAGAGGACAAGCCCCATTGACAAGGACTGACACCGACTTCAGCAATTGGCTGTAGTGTGTCAGAGATGAGGATGGCACAGGATAGAGCAGGGTTTAGGCCGGCTGATCACAGGGTTGTTCTGAGTCGTACCTGAGTTGAAGGCACCTAACAATTCAATAAATACCAAAACAAACAAAAATTTGAAAAACTATTTTGTAGCCTTAAAAAAAAAATCAATGGGAATGACAGGACTACTGACACACTGCAGAAGTGTTTGACTTGATCTGATAATCTCATAGACAAAGCTCATGAGAATGTCTTTAGTCCCTGGCAAGGAGTAAGATTACCATCACTTCTATCAGCAGACTCTGACTGGTTTAACTTTCCTACCTCATTTCTTAACACAGATGCTCTTGTCTTAGTATTAGAAATATTTCTGTAAAAAAATTACTCTAGTCTTTATGGAACATTATCTTCTCAACTGCAGCTACTGAGTTCTGCTGCGTTAGCACCAGAGAAACTGCAGGCCACATATAAATGAACATGTCTCTGAGTTAAAATAAAACTTTTTGAAGTGTTGGGCAGGACATGGGGAGTTGATGTAGGCTAGAATTTGTCAGTCCTACTTTAGACAATAAATACTAAGATTCAAGGTGATGTGTTTTCCTGTACTGTCCCTTAGCCAGCCATTCTTCTACCCAGACTTCTCAGATGCTAAGCCTCCCCATCCCTCTAAAATCTCATCAATGTTTTTATCATTCCAAAACTCTTTTCCCAACTCTTTGCATACATCTTAATATTTCTTTCACATCCAATCACTGCTGAATCTGTATTAATTCTTAAGGATTTTGTTTTCGTCTATCACCTCTCTATCTTTAATACACTCTTTTTCCTCAACAGAAGAACTAAAATGTAAGACTGAGAATTAAACCTGGTAAAAAAGAGAGTGTGGAGGGGGCTGGAGTATGGGCTGTCCAGTGGATGATTAAGAAGGATAAAACTCCAGGAAAGCAACAGAAATCTATGGGTTCCTTTTTCTCTATAATTTTCTTTTCACAAACATGAGGGTAACAGTATAAATAAATACATAAAAAAAATGACATCTGTACAGTGTTTTATTATTTATATGAAATTTAGCTTTTATGTCTCAGATTCCATCACTGAGTTTTAGTCACCCATGGACCTTATATCTGGTTTCATTCCTTTTCTAATTTCTTTAGGGCCCTGGATATAAAGCCCAATAAGCATATGTAAAGAACAACAACAAAAAGATAGGTAAACAAATGGTATTATCTTCTTTGGGGGGGGGGAAGGTGCTAATCTTCAGGTGATTCACAATCTCAGGAGCTGTTTTACATATTGGACAGAAAGACATGACTCAGTGTCTCACAGTTACTTCTGTTCTTCCTCTTGAAAGAACTTTATATATAATAACATATTGAATCCATTAACCTTTCTGGCCCTCAATATTCTTAAGGATTTTTGTTTTCTCAAAATGGCAAAGTATACTTTACAGGAAATGGAGTAATATAAAATTTTTTTCCCCTTGGTATAGTTTATAGAAAAATAAGGACTTATTAGTTGCTAATGATAACACAAACGTGATCATTAGTTATGTCAACAGTTACCCAAATCTGTAACTAACACGATTCATCTATCATTTGTTGTTGTTGTGTACTATAGAGTCAGAACCAACCCATAGCTGACCAGCTGGCGGGTTTTCAGCGGCAGTTAAATGTTCCTGTGGAACATCTGGTGGGCTCCAACAATGTGCCTTTGGGACTGCAGCACTGCTTCTTGTCACTAGGGCACCAGAGCTCCCTGAACGTCATCTAGTATCTGATAAAAAAAATTCTAGTTATGTTCATCAAATCTCAGTAGGCTTAGAGGGTGGAGGTCACAAGAGCTTCTAACTCTTAAGTTTCCATGGCTAAAGTGAAAGAAAATAGAGTTTCTGAAGAAATTATACCATTTATATAACAGAATCCCTTTTTTGGATTTTAAAAGGAAAAACTGAGTTTTTGGCCTAACCTATCAACCAAATAAGAATTTCTTCCTAAAACTACAAGCTGTAACAAGGATTTGTTACAACCAAAACTGAGGGCAATGAGATATCATAATTATATTGCTATGCACTACACCCTCAAGTATCTCTTCAATTTACAAGAAGGGGCACTTAGTTAAAATTTGACAAAAAACTTACATAATTATCAAATCAATGAATACAAAGAGCCTTCTTTCTCAAGACTATGCAAGTGAGATCTGATACATATTTAATTGGTCCTCAAGCAGGATTTTATAATCTTTAAATATTGAGATATTCGACACAGTGATAAGTCCAACTTACATTTCTTTATATTTAGAATCTTTTCAGTGCTGATCTTCAGTGTGAATTCTCTGGTGTCTGATGAGGGACGAACTGCACTTAAAGCTTTTCCCACAATCACTGCATCTGTAGGGCTTCTCTCCAGTATGAGTCCTCTGGTGTTGAATAAGAGCCGAAGAATGAATGAAGGCTTTTCCACATTCACTGCATTTGTAGGGTTTTTTCCCACTATGAATTCTTTGATGCTTAGCAAAATTTGAGCTCCGGCTAAAGGTTTTTCCACATTCATGACACTCATATGGTTTCTCTCCAGTATGAATTCGCTGATGTTGAACAAGGTGTGTGCTTTGACTGAATGTTTTTCCACACTCACTGCATTCATATGGCTTTTCTCCAGTATGAACTCTCTGATGTTTAGTAAGGGATGAGCAATGGCTAAAGGCTTTCCCACATTCTTGACATTTATAGGGTTTCTCTCCAGTGTGAGTTCTTTGATGCTTGATGAGTGCTGATGAATGAATGAAAGCTTTATCACATTCATTGCATTCATAAGGCTTCACTCCAGTATGAATCAACTGATGCTGCACAAGATGAGTACTGCGATTAAAGCCCTTCCCACATTCATTGCATTCATAAGGCTTCACTCCAGTATGAATCAACTGATGCTGCACAAGATGAGTACTGCGATTAAAGCCCTTCCCACATTCATTGCATTCATAAGGTCTCTCTCCAATGTGAATTCTTTGATGGATAGCAAGGGATGAACTTTCTATGAAGCTTTTCTTACATTCACTGCACTCAAAGAGAATTCTGGTATGAGTTCTTTGATGTTTAGTTAAATTAGCTCTGTGGCTAAAAGACTTCCCACAGTCACTGCAGGCATAGGGCTTCTCTCCAGTATGAACTCGCTGGTGTCTAATAAGGACTGAATGGTAAGTGAAGAGTTCACCACAATCATCACATTTATGAGGTTTTTTCTCTTTACAGTTTCTTTGCCTTTTTATTAAAGTTGACTTCAGTTTTGATCTTTGTTCAATAAGGTCAGACTTCTGACTCACATTTTTCCAATATATACCATGCTCATGAGCTCTTTCCCCGGGCAGCGGACTTAGAGGAGTGAACATTTCTTTCAAATGTCTTTCCTGATGTTCCTGCCGATTTTCTAACCAATTTTCACATTCAGCAGTTGTTTTCAAGTTGGAGACACAAACATTATTTGTCAGCTTATCTATTATTGCATCCTGGCATGATTCTTCTTTGGAAAAATCTTGCACTGTAGTTGATTCCTTGCTCTCTGGTCTAGTCTTCCAGTCTGAAAGAAATTGGAAATGGAAATTTCTTGGTTTTTCTGTGCTCAACAAAATGGCAGCTCTGTAATAGGTAAGAGTTAAGGAAAGTGAAAAGCATGCCTTCAAAGAGTATATATGCAAAAAGAAGCAAATGAGACAAAACTCATGCACAATATGTTTGGAAAAAATGAACAAAAGTAAGAGAAAGATGGACAGATATACAGGAAGAGGGATACAGATGCAGTATCTTATTACTAGATGAATAGGGAAAAAGAACACTGTATCAGGAGAGGGAAGAAAACACTTCTTATTGAATCCTTCTGCTGTAATAAATATTCAGCAAATTATCACCTTAATCTAGATTATGATTAATCTTATCACTTTAAACTAGATTATTAATCTGGTTATGACCTCTAAATTTACAACTGTCCAATTCTCCTTACTTTAAAATACAAATTTCATTACTACTATAATAGTAAAAAACAATGGTTCATGTATGTCCTTGATCAAAATATTCCATGAGCTCCAAAATATGAAATTATGTATGCAAAGAGTTAATAACGTAGTCTGAGTAGGGACAACTCAGGTAATAGTTACCCTGTGTACAGCAGTCTGAAACCCTGATTGATCTTGCACCAGCTTCACAATTCCTATGTCAACCCATCTCATGCATGCTCTTCACTGACCCCCTACCAAGCATGGTGTCATTCTCCAGGGCCTCAATCTTCCTGACAACGTGGCAAAAATACATGAGGAAAGTGTCACCATCTCTGCTTATAAAGAGCCATCTGGTTGCATTTCTTCCAAGACAGATTTGTTTGTTCTTTTGACAGTCTGCAACATATTCAATATCCACCATTCAATGACAGTAATTACGTGCAGCATTCCTTATTTGTTGGCCAACTGTTACACGTATATATTACTGTGTACCACTGAGTTGGAACTGACCCACAGCTGACCCTCCAGCAGGTTTTCAGAGTCTGTAAATGATCCAAGAGGAGACTGCACATCTTTCTTCTGCAGAGCAGCTGTTGTATTTGAACCTCATGCCTTCAAGTAGTCAGTGACTAAAAATACCATGGCTTAGGTGAGGGTGCTTGGTTCTCAAAGTGACATTCATGCCTTTTAGCATGTAAACAAGGTTTCTGGCAGATATGTCTAGTATAATATTGCAGTTGTTAGGGACTGCTGATTTAGAACTGACTTATGTCTGACTCTCCAGTAGATTTTAAGCAGTAAATCACACTTGGAGAAGATTGTTCATCTTTCGCCAATGGAGCAGCTGGTAGATAAAAAACAAACAAGCAAGCTAACATGCCTCTGATTTGGCAGTGCAATTCCTTATTACTAAGTTACCAGAGTTCCCTATTCAGTGCAAATACAATGTTTGATTTCTGGGCTACTACTGGTAATGACTATGGACCCAAACAGAATGAAATATTTGACAATGTCAGCTCTTCCTTTGTTTATCAGGAAATGTGTCGGTCAGAATGATATTCTTTCCCCCTGATTATTCAATCTGGAGAGACAGGTCTTTAGAGAGGGACATCATGCCGGGCAGAGTGGAGGGACAGCGCAGGAGGGGAAGACCCTCTATGAGGTGGATTGATTCAGTGACTGGGGTAATC